AGGGTCATGGTGCTCAAGTCCTCCATGTTGTGAAGGATGGTGATGATGCTTGCATATTTCTTTTGTGGTAGTACGGAGGTGATCTTCTTCACGATGTCTGCATCATCTAGCTTCGTTAATCCTATTGAATGGAGCTAATTGATAATTAGATTCAAACGTGAATACATATCACGAACAAGCTCATCATCATTCATTTTAAAGGAATCATAATTTTGTTTAGCTAGACAATGTTTTTGCTCACGGACATTAGTTGTGCCGTCATGGAGCTCTTGGAGTTTTAACCAAATTTCATATGCCATATTTAAAGTGAACACTTAGTTAAACACATCCATACTAAAAGATTCAAACAAGCAATTTTTAGCTCTAGCATTGAAATGAATTTCTTTTTCTTCACTTGTGGATTTATCAGGATTCATAATGGGTTTCATCCCGTCACGAGTGACTCTCCAAACACCCAAATCTACCGCCTCAAAGTAACAAGCCATTCTAGCTTTATAGTAAGGGAAGTTAGTTCTGTCAATGTGCGGAGGCCTAGAGGTATCCATCCCAACCACTCTAAATAGCGTCGGCTCAACGGCGGTGAAGCCAAGGGTCCAAATTGAGCCAACCGGCTCTGATACCAATTGAAAAGGGACCATGATGCCTAAGAGGGGAGGATGAATTAGGCAACTTAAAAGTCTAACTCTAAACTATGGTCTCTTTTTCTACTCTTTGCAAAACCTATGCAAAAGATAAACTATCTAAATATGCAACTACGGTTTTATTAGTATATTGCTATCTCTACCGCAAAAAGGGAGTTATGCAACCTTGGTTCCAAACCTATCAACTAGCCTATCACTAAGCTAGGAAAGTAAAGCACAAACCAAGATTGTAATGTAAATGCGGAAGCTAAAGAGTAAGGTAGACATATGCAAACTCCCATCAACGACTCCGGTATTTTTACCGAAGTATCGAGAAGCACGCAAGCTTCACCCAAATCCTCATTGGAGCCCCTCGCAAGGAATCCCTCGCAAGGACCAAGCTCCCGGTCGGGTAACTCCGTGGATAGCCCCGGGTCTTCCCCACGCGTAAATGGGTCTCCGGTGTGCCTTCCGGCAAGCCTCTCCCGGACCGCTCCCCGCCGTCTTCACTATCAAGCTTCCGGTCGAATCGTCGCAGGCCTTGTTCCCTTTGATACACGGTGGTGGCCACACCACAAACGCAGCTAGTGTGATCTCGCAAGACTACAAGCATCTCCGATGTACAACAATGGTGTGCGCAAGCACCGAGTGATAAGAGGTATGCAAACCTCACTAAACACTAGGCCTAAACCTAATGCAAGCGCATAAGCGGTGGTCTAATCAACCTAAGCACTTCGCAAAGCACCTACGCTAATCACCTAATGAATCACTAAGCACTATGCAAGTGGAGATCACTAAAATGATGTACCAACACCCTTGGTATGTTTCCTCAGTTCTCCTCTATTCTCAAATGGTCGGTTAGGGGGTCTATTTGTAAGCCCCACTGAGAAAGTAGCCGTTGGGGACAAAATCCACCTTTCTGCTACTGACCGAATGCAGCTGTCGTCCTGACCGGACGCGTCCGGTCGTCCCGACCATGGGAGCGCGCACGTTGATCGGACTCTAGGCTGAGTCCGGTCATTATCGACCGGATGCGTCCGGTCGCGTTGGCGCCGCTCTAGAACCTTTCTGGACTCGATCAGATGCTGCACTTCGTGAGTCCGGTCGTCTAGTCTGCTGCGTCCGGTCATGCTAAACACTATTGTGACAATGAACAGTGTCACCGGTGTGTCCGGTCACTGCTTCGCTCAGCGTCTGGTCAGCGTCCGGTCACAGCTGCCGACGCCTGCTGTTGCCTGGCACCTGATCGGACGCGTCCGGTCACTCATAGGGCCGCATTCGGTCACCTCTGCCGGGCTCGTTTCTTCACGATCTTGTGTTTGGCTTGGTTCCAATCTTCGTGTTTGTACTTTGCTTGACCTTGTATGTCTTCTATGCATCTTCACATGTCTTTCTTGAGGTGTTGATCATCGGATCATCACATCGCCTTCGTCCAAGTCACGTCTTGCACCCTATTGAACTATAAAACAATTACTTGCAAATTCATTAGTCTAATTTGGTTGTGTTGGTCATGAAACACCAAAATCCATAGTAAATGGGCCTATTTTCCTTATAGAGGCGACATCGGTACAGTGAGTCAGCAGGCGAGCTGTCGACAAGACGGCAGCGTTCTTCACGTGCTCGCAGACATGGAGGCGACACGAAGGGGACACGTCGTCAACGTGGCTCGACGCGGCGGTGACATGGGCACAGCGCGTTAGCAGCGGCGGCGATGTGCGCACAGTGCGCCGTTGACTCACTGGGGAAGACGAAACTGACGGGCGGACCCCACTTATCAGTGAAAGAAGAGAAAGAAGAGGAGGAGGCTGTGGCGCAGCTGGACTTTGTTGGCGCGCTGGGCCGCGTGGTCGAAGTGGCCCAAGAAGGAGGGTGAGGGTAGGGAAGGGAAGGAGTGAGCACGGGCTGGGCCGCGGTCATGGGCTGGAAAGAGAAGGGAAGGGGAGAGAGGGAGGTGAGGCGGGCTGGGCCGGTGACGGCCGAGGCGGAAGGGGGAAAGAGGGGAAGGGGTTGGCCGCAGGCCGGTGCTAGGCTGGGCCCATTCGGGAGAGGGGGAGTACACAAGATATCTTTTATATTTTTCATTTCCCAGAAAAGTAAAGAATACTACTATACTTGTATGCATGATGTACTATATACGTTCTAGTATAGCTAAATATTATATCCACTCTGTTATATTAGAAATTAAGGTAATGGCCTTATATTCCTACGTTTCTAATGTATATAAATTTGCTAAATGTAAATTGAGAGGAATTTTGGAAAGAAGAACTAAACCTATAATTGGTTAATGCGATGGCTATTATGATTCCTAGAGAGTATAATAGTATTTACATCTACGGTGTATTATCTACCACTATATTATAATTTAAGAATGCAATGCAAGTAATAATTATGGGAAGTCATTCTGGTGCCGCAAATAAATTCCAGAAAAGCAATCAAGCATTTCAAGCAAGCATTCACACAAGCACTCAAACATACACTCAAGCAAACAAACGCAGGCAATGGAATTTATTATACGAGACGATCTTCTAATCCTATAAGTCATTCCTAGCGCTATAACTAAATCCTACGCGGCACACAAAATGCATATGGTGGGTTTTGATGCAGGGTTTTGGAAATACATTTTCAAAACGGTTTGCGGGAAATAAATTGTCAGGGTTTTAATTAGTTTTAAAGTTTTAAAAAAAAATCAAATTTTTAGTGGTTTTTATGTGAGGCAAAAACACGGGTGTTACACGGGCAATGCTGGTATGCCCTAGGCTCAGCGGCCAGCTAGGATGCCTTGTCACTAGTGGTGGAGCCACATGAGGGGCATCCTGAGCTCTGCCACCCCCCCTCTCCCCCTCCTCCCTTCCTAGGATCGATTTTAAAGAGCCAGCTTGCCTTCAGTACTTCTGCGGTGCTTATCGTCTGTGCAAACTAGTCTCCTAGATCTCTTGAGTTTTCTTGCCACCTCACACCATGCACTTTCTGCTGCGCTTGCAGGGGGAAGCGACACATGTTTGTTTTCATCACACTAGTTTTCAGTATAGATAGCTTAGCATATATCATAATTTAGCACTTGAATTGAGTATATGTTGATTATGGAATTGACACCCCCTAGTTTAAGGCACGCTCTGCCACTACCCCATGGAGACAAGAGGAGGACAGTAAACGAGATTGGGAAAATAGGGCAAAGGAAAAAAAGTTAAAAGGATAAAATTGTTTCATAGATGCGACTGGATGCATTCAATCGGTTGTGGCCCGACTTATCCAGTTAGGGGCCAAAACTCTTACAACATCCATGCGAAAATACAATTCCAACCTAGTTTTAGGATGTCAAAACCGACCAAGACGGTTCTAGAAAACAACCTGCGTTTGTGGAACTACCCAAAACTATAATTCTCTCATCCAAACTCCAAAATGGACTTCTATATGCGCATTTCGATCTTTCGCAATGGTGAAGTCCAATTCATAATTTGACAAAGTTTGCAAAACCGGTCTGTTTTCCCAGAATCAGACCAGGTTAGCCAATTTTGGGTGTGAACATACTTGATCAACAATATCATCCAGGGAAAACAGAATTTTCAAGATACTTTGTTCATGGAAAATTTCAAAATCTCAGCTTGTTGCATTTTGGAGGTCACAACATGAGAAGATCTAAGAAAATGGCCAGCCACATCAATGCATGTGGCTGCATAACTTCAAAGAACTTGTAGCCGTTCACATGCATAGAGTTAAATCCACAACTACAACTTCAAAAGAACATGTAATCTTCCCCTGGCTTAACACCTTTTCCGAATAAAAACACTTCTTCAGCCAGTTTTTTTGCCTCTTCGTAGAAACTCTTGTGGGGGTTTCTCTGTCCACAGTTTCTTGTTTTTTATTTTTTATTTTTAAAAAAGAGAAGTGGTAGTGCGTAAGCATCCATGCTAGAAGACTGTCGATTAACATAGTACTCCCTCAACCCTACATTCCAAATTATAAGATGTTTTGGCTTTTTTATGTAAATAACTTTTGTTGTGTACTTAGATATATGCTATGTCTAGATACATGGTAATCGGTAAAAGCATATATTTAGAAAAGCCAAAACATCTTATACTTTGGAACGGAGGGAGTATTTTCTTCTATGTTAGATTAAATTTCAGGGAACAAAGTTCCTTGTGCTAAATTATCCTAACATCCCATGGTGGGATTAGACTTGCATGGCATACATTATGCAGGGAAAGGTGCACTGTCTGGGGGGAAACAAATCAAACTATTGGAAATTTTCCACATGTTTATGGTACAGGAATAATGGGACATTAGTATTTACCACTTGCAACATCAGATGCTTCAGCAAGCCTTGCTATGCACCAACTAGAGACCGTTCTTGATCCTGAAGGCACTCTGAGTTAGACAAAACTAAAAATTTCCTGACTTGATCAAGGGGAGAGACGTCCCCTTGACTTCAGTCTTAAAGAAGGGGCCCACCGAACCCGGAACAGGCAGGAATCTCACGCGCGCACGCTTCTTTGGCGGCCGCGGACCCATCTGCGCAGTTTCAACAGGGAGGTGGGCACACAACTATGCAGTGATAAGATAGTTTGTATAATTGGACTTACTTCCAATGCTTTCTTTGCCCTCTCTACTTCCAAGGGATCAGGATTGCTGACGCTAAAAATTTTCTTCACCTGCATGAGCAGATGCAATATTAAAATCAAAATTACAAGGCACAAGATCTGCAGTGTTTCTAATCAGAAAAAAAATTGGGGACGTTCATTCAAACTAACCACTTTTATCAGGCTCTCAGTATGAAATATATTGATATTGTTGTAACTTCTTGTCTCATCAACATTTTGTGGAGGTAGAAAATCCTTATTGGATACATTCTTCTGGAAACTTATTCCTCGTCCAGGAACAGGCTTCGGCCCACCATGGCTAGTGGACTTCCCAGCAGCACTAGTTCGAGCATCTTGACTTTGTAAATACATCACAGGGTCTATCCCAGACCCATCCTCTTGCCATCTTATATCTTCCTGTCCCATCTTTACTTGAGAAAAAAACAGTGGTTTAGCACAATTCCATCAGATAAAAGAGTTTAGTAGACATTTGTAATTTATGCTTCTTCTCAGAACGAATATTAGGTCTTCTTTTAAATAACATGAGTACAAAACTACAAACATTTCAGATACCAAGCATAGTTAACATAGACAAGTCAATTTGAAAGCAGTAACATCTCTGGAACAGCTCAACACGTTCTCCAAACAAAATTGTCCAGAATTAAATGGCTGGAATTAATATGCATTATCATGATATGCTTCTTGTCTAAAAGCTTCCAGATTCCAAGTTGATGTGTTAATAAATTGAGTAGCAATGACTAAACATATAAAAACAGCAAACACTAATCCAAACCACTTTCCAAGTGCTGCCAACAAATTTACTCTATCTATATAACTAGAAGGATACCCTGCGTGTTGCTGCAGGATTTTCTTAGAAATAAAACTATTGCATGTATGAGTTAGACCTATATATGTTCTTGCTTCGGTTATTATCAAAATTGGGCAAGTCAATAAAATTAATAGAATTAGATATAATTATTTTTTAACGCGACAGCAGGAAGTTTGCCTATCAATTAAGAGGGAGAGTTATACTTACAGGAAGTGGAAAACTCATAAGCACACCCAAACATAGCGGGGAAGCCCAAACAAAGGAGCCAACCCAGACACTACAGATTTTGCAGACAGTGCGCCCTTTTGTGGGTTTCCATGCTTTCTTTGATCATCCCCGCAACTTGTATGGTTGTGGTGTGATTATTCTAGATAATCCTGCGGTTACGCTTGAAGGGATAAGCCTGAGTGTGGTTGTGTTAGATTCAGAGAGCTCTCACTTTAGTTGTAGAGGTTGTCAGGGCTGATCACAGCCATTCTATCTTCTAGCACTTAATTTGTTGAAATTGCACTTTAGTTGTTTTGCTTTTAGCTGTAATCTGTACTGCTTTCCCTATATATGGAGCAACCAGCAGATGTCTTAAGCACTGCCAGCCAATACTAAATTTCTCAATTGTGGTTTGTAGTCTATCAACGCTCTTTCCAAAGGAACGTTGTACAGTAGCTTGGGGTCTTTGGGGATGGAATGTGTTACATGTATATATCTGTTGTGTATTTTCCCACTATTGTAAGGGGTTTTGTCCATATTGTGTACAGACCTTATCTTTCCCTTTGGGACAAGAATACAATCTAAGTTGCTATTTTTCTAACATGGTATCAGGCTGTAGGGTTTAGATCCACCCCCACTTGACAGCCGCCATCGCTGTTCCGCCAACTTCCCGGCGAACAACTACTCTTCCCCACCCATCTCCCTACCCTTTTCTGCCTCCGCAGGTTCAGCGGGCTCTGCCCATGACCACCGTCGCCTGCCGCGCATGCCTCGCCCGCGGTTGCCGCCTCAGCTGGCCGCATGCTTGCCCGCGGGTTCCGCCACCACTGGCCGTGCGAGCCCTGTCCCACCCTTCCGCGACCGCCGTCACCGTCCGCTCGTGTCTCACCCACGACCCCCTACCTGCTTGTCGTATCCGCATTCTGCCTTGGCTGAGGCCTCGTCTGGTGGGCACCTTCTGCGTGCTTTGCTCTTGCACCTGTGAGGTACTTTGCTATTGAGCCTGTGAGATTCCAAAAACAAAAAGGAAAACAGAGTGCACAGAGCTCGTAGTCTTCATGGCATCATCCATTTGTCCTAGTGTTGTCCCTGTTCCTCGGTGCTCGGTCATCTTCAATGGCACAAATTGGGGCGAGTTTGTCTTCCACATGGAGGTTCACATGGGTGGTCAGCAGCTTTGGGGATATTTCATGGGTAAGCAGACATGCCCACCATGAACTGCTCTCCCAACACCACCCACCTACCCACCAGATGTTGCTAATGATGCTAAGAGTGTTTTCCTTGAGGTGTTTGAGGCCGAGATGGAAGGATACCAGTCGTACCCCAGTGTTTATGAGACTTGGCTACACGAGGATCGTGCCAAGGCTATCCTGCTTGCGAGCATTGAGATCGACCTCTCCATGTCTCTCAGGGGCCTCGCTACTTGCCACCTGATGTGGGCTCACCTCTGTTGTAGTTACGAGATTCGAAAAGAGGCGATGTACCTTGCTGTCGTTGAGGAGGCTTAGGCGCTTCGTCAGCTAGACTCAACCGCTGAGGACTTCCATTGTCACATGTCAGCTGTTTGGCATCGTCTAGACAGCTTGGGTGCTGAGTTCTACGTTGCTGGTACTTGGCGGTGCTATGAGCGCCACTAGAGACAGAGAGAGACTCTTCGTCTTCATGAGTTCCTTTCTCACTTTGTCCCGAGTTCAAGACTGTTTGAGCACAGTTGTTGACTCGTCATCCATGCCCATCGCTTGCCAAAGGGATGCCTGAGCTAGGAGCCTAGACGCGCCTTCGTAATGAGGGCTCAATAGCAGCCATCTATGCTAGCTCCCACGCCCTCCCAGGTGCCTTCGCCGCCACCTCCCTCACCGCCTCAGCCCTTGCTTGTGGCGACGAAGACTTCTTCACGTGTTCTTTGTGGCTATTGTAAACGACTTGGCCATGATGAGTAGGCTTGCCAAAAGAAGAAGCGCGACCGGAAGGGCCATGGCCGACGCTCTTCTCCATGCTTGAGTGGCTCTTCTACTTCACAGGCTCGTTCAGTATCTGCCCTCGAGCAAGAGATCCTCGCCCTGTTTTGCCATCTTACTGCCGCAGTGCAGACCTCAACGCATGGGACCACTGCTTAGGCTTCTGGTTCTACTCTTACTCCCCATCTAGGTAAATAATCCAAGTGGTTCCTTGATTCTGGTGCCTTTTTCATATGACTCCTGATTCGACTCATTTATCTTTGATGTCACCTCCCAATTCACCTTTTGTTGCTCAACCATTGATGGCACATCTCTTCATGTTGCTGGATTTGACATTCTTTCTACTTCAGCTTTTCATGTTCCTTCTGTTTCGCACATTCATAAGCTCACCATGTAGTTGATATCTTCTTATCATATCACTGACCATGGATGTCATATCATTCTTGAAGCTGACTCTTGTAGTGTTCACGACCTTTGTACGAGCCTTCTGGTGGGGGACTGGGCCTAGGCATCATGATTCTTAGGGTATGTGGGAGCTTGACTGGTTGCGTCTCCCTTCGCCCACTTTGTCCATCCAGTCGTCGTCCTGTTCTCCTGCCTTCACGTCACCTACATCATCTACCACTACTTTTGTGCAGTGGCATCGTCGTCTAGGTCATCTATTAGGCTCTAGACTATCCCCACTTTAGTTGGTAGCGGTGTCTTAGGACATGTTTCTGGTAATAGTGCTCCCCTTTGTATAGGTTGCAAGCTTGGTAAACAGCTACAATTCCCCTATCCTTCCAGTGACCGGTGAGTCTTTATCCCAGCGCCCTTTGATCTTGTTCATTCTGATGTATAGGGTCGTGTTCCTTTTGTGTCCAAAGGAGGTCACTGATATTATGTACTCTTTATTGATGGTTATTTGAGATTCACTTGGATTTATTTGATATCTTCTCATGGATAGTTTCTCTCTATTTACCAGCAATTCGCCACCATGATCCGTACTCATTCTATTCTCCCATTCATGCTTTTCATGCTGACTTTTCTGGATCTTCGTTACCTTGCTGAGCACAAGCATCGTCTCATTCTTGAGACTGCTCATGCCCTTCTGATCTCAACTGATCTGATCTTGCTCCTCATTTCTGGGCTAAGGCTGTCCCTATAGTTTTCTTCCTCATAAATCGACAATCATCTTTTGCTCTTTAGGGATGCACTCCCTACAAGCGTCTCTTTGGCACCCCACTATCCTATAACCATCTTCACTGCTTTGGGTGTGTCTGCTATGTACTTCTCCACCTCATGAGCACACCAAGCGTCCAGTCAGTTGAGTGTTCTTCCTTCGGAGTACATAACATAAGGGCTATCACTGTTATGACCCCATTGCCCATCAGATGAGGATCTCTCGGGATGTCATATTTGATGAATATTGTTCCTATTATCCTCATCTCCCACTAGTTCGTCCAGCACAGCTGATGAGTCCCTTTCATTCCACACCTTACCCAACTGGTCTTCTCCATCTACCCATCTTGTCACACTACTCTACTTCTCCCACCTCCCCTGTCGTCATTCCACCTCAATCTCATGTTACTCCACCTCTACCTCGCCCTCCCCTTCCGATTGTTCCACCGCCACCTCTAGTGCTTCCACCACCAGCTCCACCACTTGACTCTTCTTTGTTTGTCCTTGGACCCCCTCTAGAGCCTTCTCCCAGATATGATCTTCATGATCATAGTACCATTCATCCTCCCGACCATCGTGGCTTCACTTCTGCTACTCTTGTTGAGCCCGTGACTTATTAGAAGGCTGGTGCTCACCAGGAGTGGCAACGTACTATGGATGAGATTGCTGTTTTGGAGCGCACTGGCGCTTGGGACCTTGTTCCCTTGCTACCTGCCATCACTCCAATTACATGCAAATGGGTCTACAAGGTCAAGACTCACTCCAATGGCTCTTTTGAGTGCTATTAGGCTTGTTTTGTGGCGCAAGGTTTCCAACAAGAGCAAGGTTGTGACGTGGCTATGATGAGACCTTTGCTCTAGTGGCTCTACATGACTACCATTTGGACTCTCCTTGTTAGTTGTTATTGCTTCTGTTCGCTAGTGGTCTATCTCTCAACTAGATGTCAAGAATGCCTTTCTTAATGGCGAACTCCTGGAGGTGTACATCAGCCACCTCCAGGTACTCTGTCCCTCATGGCATGGTCTGTCGGCTGCGTTGTTCTCTTTATGGTCTCAAAGAGACATCATTGGGCTTGGTTTGAGCGCTTCTCCTCGGTTGTAACTAATGCTGGCTTCAAGCCCAATAACCATGACCCTAACCTTGCTCTCTTTGTTCACACCTTTTCTTGTGATCTCACTCTTCTTCTTCTCTATGTCGATGACATGCTCATCACAGGTGATGACTCTCAATTCATTGACTTCGTGAAGAAGCACCTCAGTGAAAAATTCCTA